GGAGAAGAGGTCTCATTAGGAGGCTTGACTTTGTGAGAGCTCATGGAGAAGCTGTGGAATGCAGTTAGTACCTCCWATGTGGCTTTTTCTCTTTTTATAAGCACTGTGCAAAATGTGAGACTGTCTAGATAAAAGCAAATTTAACAGCTATTTGTATCCTTTGAGGAACATCAGTACTGGTTGAAAGAGGGTAAAAGACTTTTTTTTTGTTGAGTCTGGAATGGACCTGCTTTTATTGGAGGACTCTACAACTGCTTTTGTTGCTATTTCTACTGATAGCTTTTACCTGACTTGTTTTCAAAATCCTTGTCGGATTTTTTTTTTYCCCAGTCTTGAAAAACTGCATTTCYTTACTGAAATTCAAGTTTGGGGTCTGGAAAAATGTCCAAAATGATTTTGCAGATGGCTTGCTCTGATATAGAAGTCCCAGAAATAGGGCAYTCTGTAAGGGAAGTCACCTGTTTATTTCCAGGAGGGTAGACAATTTATTTTAAACAATGCCATTCTCTTTTCAATTATAGACGTTTTTGTGGAAAAAAATTGCAGCAGTCTCTAAGAAAGAGCACGTGATCACAATTAAAGGATGTGCTGTGCTGTATCAGAAGGTGGCATTTAAACCAGGGAAAGTCTGAATATTGGCTATAACTCATTGTAATTATACCATCTATTTCAAACATGTAAATATGTTTGGTAGCACTTACATGTTTATGTCAGCTATTGGGAAAAGACGTTTTTCTTTTTGGTAAACTTCTGGTGGTAGGAATTTTGTTACTTGTATTTGAATAAGTAACAAGTTTAGATACCACAAATTTTTGCATGAACAGAATTTGTTTCCCTCTCTCGTGGTTGTAGGATTTTACCCGTGGTCAGGTTATTTATAACAATTTAATGAATAGKTAATATTAATAAGCAATGTATTAATAAGGCATGTATTTCTTAATAGAACACAACATGACTGTGGCATGGTGCAATGCCGAGGTTGAAGGTGAGGCCTGGAATGGAGTGAGCGTGAATCCATTTCTGGCTCTTCCCACCTTTACTGGAATCAGTGGTATTTAGCTCATTTTGAAAGGGCTTTGAGATCCCCAGGTTGAGATGCCTCCAGAAGTCCTCAAGTTTAACACACAAACCCTGCAAAAACTTGAAGGCTGATTTAACCTGGCACCTGGAGTGAAGCYGTGTCTCTGCTCAAATTGATGAGAAAACTCCCTTTGCTTCTGGGGACTGGGATCCTTCGCCAGGGGAAATCATTCTGAGCCTATTTCCTGTCCCTTTGACATTTTCTGTCTTATCAAAAGCCAAAGGCGTAAGGAAGAAGGTTAATGACTAAATTGACAAATAAACAATCAGTTCAAAGCAGCAACAAGGTATTTCCAGGAAAATGTAAGAATTTCCTCTGGAAGCCAGTTAGGAATGTAAACACTGCCACACTTCAACCTAAAGGAGACAATCTATATGGAGCTCATTGTGTTACAGGGATTGTGACTGGCTGGGAAAAAGAAAGGGCTTTGGGTTTTCCACGAAAAATTTCCTCTTAGGGGAAAATTGCAGAACAGGGAGGAAAATAAATTTGGTCATGGCGAATGAAAAAGGGCATGGCCAAAGGGGTGTCTTAGGTAGAGCCCCTCTGATGGTGTGAGGTATGATCTGGCTCTGGGATGTCAGGTTTGAGGCAGCAAAGCAAAGGAGTCTCTCCTCAGCAAAAGGAAATGTTTAAGGAGTCCCAGGCCAGGAAACTGCTTTCCATCCCATGGCGGTGTGAGTGTTGAGAGATGGTGATGGTGGGATGTTTCCCTCATGCCGGGAGAAAAGAGAGCATTGCATTTGGCCTTCATTTCCAAGGGCTCCTCTTTGCCACAGTAATGGTGCATTAACAACAGCTTGATTTTCATTTAATAAATAATAGGAATTATGCTGCGGCGGAGCCAAGATTTTAAACAAGGGGCTCCCATAAACATTTTCTGMRRGAATCTGTGATAAACCAAAGATAGYGTTAGACGTACTCGGGGGGAGTGGGGACGCCAGACTTGGACGCTGTCCATCAGCTACGCCATTGAAACAAAACCACTTTATAATAACCACAGAGGAGAGGAAGCGCGGCAGCTTGGCACATACACTTACACTATGTGTGGTGGAAATGTTTATTCTTTATTTCAGAAAGATTTAGTGGGTGTAGAGATAATAGAGCATAGTGCTCACTTGTGTCTTGGGGAAGGAGGGGTGATGGTGTTTGGGTTTTAAGGGAGTCCAGTGTCGGCTCCCACGGGGAATATTTTCGGTAATACCTATTGCAGTCTCATGCACTTGGAAGGCAGGAGGAGACAGAGGAATGAAATGTGCTTTTCAGGAGAGGTGCTGTAAAGGCCCCAGGATTAGTTATCTCTGACAGGAAGGATTTTACAGACTCCAGCAGACGGCAGAGGCAGAATCCTGACCATTTCTGCTCTGCCATATAGATCCTCCAAGGTCCTGTGCYGGGATGCTTCCCTTGGAGCAGCTTGGGATGCTCTGCCCTGCTCTTTCTGAGACACCATGGGGCTGTTTGGGGCTCACCAACCCCACGTGTGTGCTCGTACCCTACCCATGCCAGCTCCCTGGAGGGTCTCCTGGTTCCTGCTCTCTGCAATCTACCTGACATGCTGAGGCACCATATGGTGACCTGGGAAATGCAGAGGGATCATCAAAACAAGAGTTAGGAAGGTCAGCAGGCCACTGCATCCCRTGTCCCCAATGTCCCTGTCACCRTGCTCCCTTTCCCGCTGTGCACGTTCAGCTCTGCTGCACTGCCTGTCCTTGGAGCCGCTCAAAATCCAACCCAAAAGACCCTGGGCTGACCTCCGGGGGTGAGAGAGTCCCTGCCAGGGTTTGAAACAGCAAATGTCTAGACTTGGTGTGTGAGCAAGCAAGTGAAGGGATGACTAAGTGTCTGAAAGTTTGGACCTTTGGAGAGGACTCCCTTGGCTCTTCGTTTCTTGGATACAATTCTGCTTCCTGTGGAGCCGCGGAGATGATAATATTTTTTCTCCCTTTCTTTGTATTTTTTCCCCCCTTTCTCAAAAAAAAGTAAAAAATATACAGATATGTCTTGGGCGAGAAAGCAGAAACATTTGAAAAATTTTGGCAAATCAAGACACACGAAGAACGTGTTGAGKGAAACATTTCAGAGTGACAAAAATCAAAACATCTCACTGCGCCTTCAACCGCTTTAAAACATTTTAATGGTTCGAAAGGAAATTTCAAAATGAAAAGTCGTGTTTTGCTTAAAACACTGGAAAGTGTTTCATTAAAAAGGAAGACTGGAAGCAAAACAATTGCCTTATATATATTTTTTTTCTCTTCAATGAACCTGATGGGTCTTTCCCCAACCAATGCTGAAGTCAGAAGCTGGGACCAGACACATCTTCCCCTGTGTTACAAGGTACCTGGAGCTGGCATCCTTGGATCTGAGAAAGGGATGATCTCATGAAGCCATTTGCCATGCAAGAAATTCTTGTATCACCCTAACTGTTTTATTATTTTTTAAATAAAAATTTACAGGCCAGCCCAGTGCCAGGGCCATGCCTGCTGAGAGCTGATGCCTACMGAGGTCTTTCTGTACACAGGACAGCCTCAGATGCCAGCGAATGGAGAACTGGACTCGGAAAACCCTTCCTCTCCAGTACTGTGACAYGTAGGTTGGAATGGTGATCTTGGTGGCCTTGATATCTCTGCCAGCTATTCCCGTGCTCTTTAGGCAGTTGAAGTGCCATCAAGTGAGGGATGTGGCGCTGCTGGCCTGCATGATGTGCTTGGGGAAGCTCTGCACCRGAGAAGAGRAAGGAGAMAAACCCACAATYAGTCCTAAGYTGGAAGGGACCACAGYGGGTCATCTGGTCCAAGGTTTAGTGAGAGAAACAGCACCATGAGGACACGCTGGTGGCTGAGATGAAACAATCTCCCTGGAGGCTGCAGTGGAGGGGGGACCCTGCTCATTCCTGGGAGATTTGGGGACAGTGTGGGGAGTCAGAGCCAGCTGGAAGGCTGGAAGGGAAGCACAGAGACCGCCTGGGGGGCATCAGTGGGCCGAGGGAATGGGGAAGGCCGACAGGAGGGAAGGAAGGCTAAGGAGAGGTGGATGGATGGCTGAGGGAGACGGGAAAGGCCGAGATAAAGAAGGCAGAAGGCAGACAGAATGGCTGAGGGTAGGTGGGGGGCAGAGAGGAGCCGGAGCGGCAGCCGGAGCGGCAGCCGGGGGGCCGCGGTGCTCCGAGGGGAGCGGAAAGGCTGAGGCACCGCTCGGAAGGGAGGGGAGCAGGCCCGGGGCCCGGGCGGGGGCTGAGGGCGAGCGGAGGCCSCGCATCGCCGGGCCGGGCCGCCCCTTCCCCCTGCAGCGCGGCGCTCCGCCGGGCTCGGTCGCTTTAAGGCGCGGGCGGGGCGCGGCCCCGTCCCACCTCTGAACCCGGAGATTGACGGGCGGGCGCGCAGGGGGCGGTGCGGCCCGCGGGCCGGCCCTCCCGCCG